CTGGGACACAATTAGACAGCAGGGTAGTGGACAATCTGTGTGGTACACTCATAAGAGGGACCCCTGTGACTTCTACCACAATGGTGTTGGCTATGTTCACAAAAGCACTGGCTGGGGTTGGAAATATGTAATTTTTTCATGGTGTTGAGTTGTCACACTCCAAGTGTACTAAGAAGCACTGCTTTTCTCTCTCCTTAAATAATAAATGGCTACAGAATGACTCACATGCTTTATCAGGTTCGGGGTTATGAGCCGAATCTTGGATAACAAGTCTACAACATCACTTCTATTAGTCAACTGTCATGCTCAGAGAGGGACAGTGGCCTGAGGTTCCCAGTTCCACATTGTGGAGCAAGTCTGAGTCCAGGCTGGCAGGAACCTAATTTCCAGTATCAGCTTCATGCCTTCATTGCACCTAATGTTTTCTTATAATAAACCCTCATTTAATATAGGAAACACTCATTTAATAACTTGTTCTGTCACTACATATTTCCATTTCTTCATTATCTTAGCTACTTTTCTATTGCTATGGAAAACACCATGACCATGTCAAGTTACAAAAGAAAGTAGTTTGCTTATGGTTTAAGACGATTAGAATCAATGATAGTGGAGTAAAGCCACACCAGGAAGTTCATATCTTGACCCACAACCACGAGAAAGAAAGAGAACACAGCCTCCAAGCCCACTCCCAGTGACATACCTCCTCCAACAAGACCACACCTCCTAATCCTTACCAAACAGTTCCACCAACTGGGAATGTGATAGCTAATCTTTGTTGCCAACTTGGCTACATCTAGAATCAACTAAAACCCAAGAAACTGCACACCTATAATGGATTGGCCTGATTGGCCCATTGAGGTGAGAAGACACACCCAAATTCTAGGTCATGCCTTCCAGTGGCAACCTCCCTAAAAGGACATGGATGAAGTAAGCTTTCACTTTTTGCCTGTTTGCCTTAAGTCCTGCTGGCAAGTTTGTCAGCACCGTTCCTGAGGCTTTCCTTCACTGTTGTTAGAAAGTACTTCTTGGAGGTTCTAATGGAGCCTGAAAATTGGCGTTTTTCTCAGACTTCTCTGGGACTCCAACATGATGGGGACTGCTGGGACATCCAGCCTTGTGAACTGATACACTACCAGACCATTGGCCTTTCTGTCAGGAGACAGCCATTGTTTTACTTTGCAGACTATAGCCTGTAAGCCACTCTAGTAAATCTCATATACATGAGGGATATGGTATATGTATGTATATATACATATATATGGTATATATACACATATGTGTGTGAGAGACAAACAGACACACACACACACACACACACACACACATTCAATTCTATTCCTCTAGAAGATTCTGACTGATACAGGGGACCAAGTATTCAAATACATGAACCAACGGGGACTATTCTCATTCAAACCACCACACTCATCTAATTATATTCTATTCATTTAGTAAAGTCAACTCCAGTATCGTTGACATCTTGCAACATTCCCGTTCCCCACCTGGGCACTTCTGTCCCTAGCCTTCACAGAGGGCACCACCGCCTTACTCTGTGTCCTGCCCATGCATATTGAAGGATGGGCTACCTACAGACACAGGACACAGAACTACAGCCACCAGCCCACATGCAATTAGATATGTCCTAAGTCCTGTTCTGCCTCATCCTCTAGAAACTCTTATGTAGAAAAAAAACTTAGGTGTGACCTGAACCCCCCCCCAGACAGGGAGAACCAGAGAGATAGAAAATGAATCTTTTTACCTTCTTATCTCCCAAAGACAATGCAGAATAAGGCTCCCCCTGCTTCGTCTCACTGAAGTCAGGCTCATAGGTGACTTGAGTCTCCAGACCCCTCAAGCCACTGACGATGCTACTGACTCCAACTCCACAGCTGTGTCTATCACCTCACTTAGATTAAGTGTATACAGAACAACATAAACCCAGTCACTGGCTGCCATCTTGGCTGACTGGATCTCACTGGAATCAAGTAAACTTATAAAGGACTGGTAACTTCTCATTAACCAATGAGTTCCAGGACCTATGGTCAGCCTGTCCTTCTCTGGTTAAACCATATGAAACACCTCTCCATGCCCCAAGGGGTTGGGAAATAATAAAACCTGAGCAAGAGCTTTTGCTTTTAGAATCCCTGGGTGGCCAGAGAAAATTACAGAGAAGTCACTGTAGTCCAGATTGGAAGGGTCAGGCAAAGGAGAGATGATTCAGAGGGAGAGGACACATGAACCACAGATGGAAGCAGCCTTTTCCAACACCATCCGAGCTACATGGCCATGCTCTCAAAGGGCACACCAGAACTCTTCCTATCCATCTTGTCTCTTCAGGACCATGGCCAGAAGCCAAGGGTATGAGGTGTGATGGCGTCTGCTGCTACCAAAGCCTAACTCTGAACCGTGGGTGGAGGGAGCTTGCTGCCTGTTGCCGTCTCTGCATGGGTGAGTTGAGTGCTTCATTTACAGTCTCCCTTTCTCATGTAACAGCAAATCCTGTCAGCATCTGTTGTGGTGACCTCCAGTTTTCCACTCTAACCTCATGGGGATCTGAGAGGGGACTGTCACCTCCCCCACTTCTGGTTTTGTTTGTCTGGTTTTTTGTTTCATAATTTTTCGAGACAGGGTTTCTCTGTGTAGCTTTGGAGACCAGGCTGGCCTCGAACTTACAGAGATCCACCTGCCTCTGCTTCTCAAGTTCTGGGATTAAAGGCTTACACCACCACCACCCAGCTACCTCCCCATCTCTGGTGGCCACTAATTTTTTAGAGAATTTGATAAACACTTGACCCTGAACCAAAAAATAAAACGTCTATAAAGCCTGACTTGATATTTTCTGTACTGCCTTTAGGATATCTAAAGGAGTCCCAGCTCAGAAATGACAGCAGCAAGAGACTCCCGCAGCAGACATAGAGTGACCCTTGTGCTCTGTCCGTTCTGGAACCTCCAAGTGACCTTCCACAGGAATACCAATCTCTCAGCCATACAAGGGCTCCAGCCCACAGTGGAGACAGCATAGTTTTTCTGTCCTGAGCCTAACATGGTGTCCCACTCAGAATGGGGGCATAATGAAGGACTTGTATCTGAAATTGCCACAGACAGAACCAAGATTGGCATCAAAACAAAAAGAAAACTCTAGCAGAACTACAGCAAACATTCCTGAGTTCCTGGAGCTTTCTAAAGACTTCCGTTTTTACTTGTCTCAAATTTGATGTCTGCATTTCACCTAAATTATCAAGCAAATGCAATAAGAGATTGCTTGCAGGATACTCTCTTTGCAACAATTTCTCTTTCTCCTCTCACCACCCTCTATTTTTTTGCAAGAATACTGCATATCAGCAACTCCTCTGGGGAAAATAACCTGAAATCCTGGATCGTGGATGCTGAATGACTTAATGGATAATAAAATGGCTCGTGCCTATGAGGCTGCTATTTAAAGACCAACTTGACACTCTGTGTAAAATGAATACTAGTTTTCATGTAATCGTGGGACCTTCCCCAGCTTTCCTGCCAAATTTGCTATTTCTGGAGAGTGCACTTTTCCAAGGAAGTTAGATGCCACTTTTGAGACTAATTCTGAAGACTCAGGAGGACAGCTGATCTCCTGAAACAGCTCCCAAACTGTGGGTTAGGAAACAGAGAATGTCTTCAAAGCCCCAAAGCAAGAAGAAATCTTAGACAACATTGTGAAAAATGACCCCCGTGTCCTTGAGTACACTGTCACTGAGATGGAGCCTCACTGGAGATGCATGGAGTCTGTTCGCACCCCAGCGTGACCCTAAGTGAACCTGATCTCCCCTGTTCCACTCCCTCCAGCTAGCATCAAGTCCCCCATGACACCATCAAGTCCCCCATGACACCATCTGTGTGGGTCTCAGTCACCACCAATCCCCAAAGGCCTTATACCTGGGTCATGGCGGGCCAGAACGTCTCAGGACCTTCAAGTACATCTTTCCTAATCTTGGGCACAGTAGGGAGCTGTGATGGGTTATGGCGACCGTCAAACTAAGAGGACCTTGGGTCACCGGATTGTCTAGATTAGGCTATTGTGTTCCATGTTTCTCCCAGTTGCAACATTCCTCCAAATTGAAACATTTACCCCAGGAAGGAAGCTGGAGGGGAGGAGCTCAAGAGCCTCGGATGGCAAACAGAAAGTAAACAAAAGGTTACTTATCCCTGAGGAACCGAGGCTAGGAAGATTTTTGATGGCCCTACCAATAGTGTAGGCGCAAGTACTTACACAGCTGCTGAGGCTAGGGACTGGCGGTTCAAACTACAGGAAAAAGCTGCTGTGGGGCCCTCCGTGGAGTTCTCACCCATGGAAGGAATCACCACCCACAGCCATGGTACTATTGGAACAGTTTCAGCGCCAGGCAGTCACAGCAAGAGAAACATGCATGCCCACACAATATAGGCTACATGCATGCGTGCACATACATATGTGTGCACACTGTACTTAAACCACCTGAGTACAGACTACGTACACATTGACAGCTCATTGTACACACTTTTTTCTCTTTTAATTTTTGTCGCACCTGGACGTTTTCATACAGGCATATATAATGCACACTAACCACAAACCCTCAAGTCCTCTTCTGTGCAAACCCCTGTACACACTTGTGTGCTTACTTCTGTGTATGCTTTTACAAATACTCCAATCCACATTTGCACATCTCCTTCCATGCACTCTTCCTAAGCATGAAGATCGTCTTACGCGTGTCCATTCCCATGATGAAGCTTCCATACCGAGGGACTCTATGTGTCCTTTTAAATATATTGGTCATGAATAAGGGAAGCAAACACACCAAAAGAAGCAATATATTGAAGCATGGGTGATGGGAAAGCCAGAGTCAGCTTGTCACCTCCATCTCAGCTGCATAGCTCTCCCTCAGTCTCTTGGGACCTCTGGATATTCACCATCGCATGATCAAGCTGCAGTAGTCAGTATGGAAGATGCCTACCATGTAACCATGCCTACCATGTAACCATGCCTACCATGTAACCATGCCTACCATGTAACAATGCCCACCATTCTCTACAGAATCCCCTAAGGGACATGTGTACCCTACTGTAGATAAAGCCTATGGGATTGATTTGCCCTGCAGATGGTTAATTTGTTGGTGGTATCTGTCCCTAGATGTCCAGTGCTCTGCAGCGGACACCCTGGGCCCAGCATGAGTGACCCGACCATGCACAGTGCTGCTCTCCTGAGGCTTGCACACTTGGCCCATAATCAATGGCTACCAAGTCACACGCATGAGTCGTTGGAGATCCAACAAGCTCCCAGAACCTGGAGGACAGTTCAGGGAAAGTGTGGAGAGCTCATAAACTCTCAGCAAAACTGAATCCCCTCTGCCAGCGTCCAGGTTATCACCTGTGGATTCCAGGTGGAAAATACGGCCAAGCCCAGTTTACCCCATGCAAGCACACACCCTCTGGTAAGGTCCCTCATCCTGGCTTTGTTCCATAGCAGCAGATTGCCCTCAAGGAGGTGCTGTTGCTGAGTATGGGCTTTGATCTCAGCAACAGTGAGCTTTAATCTCCTTGGTGTCTCGGGTGGTCCTTGCCCACAGGTTGTCGGAACTCCTCACCTGAGACATCCGTCTCTCTGACTCATTCTCCTCTACTCAGCACCGTCCACTGCCACCCAGCGTAAGCATGCCCCGGTCCAGGCTTTTGGCCAAGCTGGTTCACTGTTAGTCTTGTCGTCCACATACAGCTGTCCCCCTTCTCTGCCTGAAAAGCCTGGCTGGTCTTTAGAAGTGCAGGAAGCTAGGAGCCAGCCTAAGTCCTTCAGATTTCACCAAACTCCTACCTCCACCTTTTTTAAACCTTGCGTTTGCCACTCTGACATAAGCAAAAATGTAGGGGGAAATATGGGCTTCTCCTTGCATAGCGCCACCTCGTGTAGCCCTAGACACTTAGGGAGGCCCTCGGGGACCACAGCTACCAAGAGGGAGCCCGGACTCCCAGCATCAGGGAGGACAGTAGAGACGGGCACCGTGGGTACTACGCCCCTGCCTTTAGCCCCGGGGTTCTTTCTGCAGCCACTCTATTGTGTCCTCGGATGCCCACGTGCCAAGGACACCTCCATGTCTACATGGAAGTGAAGTGAAGGCAACAGAACCAGAAAGGCACGCTCCATCCTGGCTCTTGGCCCTGCTCTGGGGCTCGCTGTAAACCCCATCCCATCACTGTCTTGTTGGTAATGCCCTTCTTTTGCCATCTTTGCAGAGGAGTGAGATGCCGACTCTGAGCGCCTGCCGAGCACTCTCCATCGCAACTGGCGCTCACAGGACCCAAAGAGCCCACTGTCTCGTTGATTACAGGAGCGTGTCCTAAAGACCTCACAGGCTCTCAAAGGAAAAAGGGAAGTGAAACAAGCGCTTTTGAAATAAAAGTGTCCAGAACAACAACCCAGAGGTGGGGTCACAGCGTCATGTCCAGCTGTTTCAGGATGAAGTCGCATTTCAAATGGTGACTTGGGTCATCAACTAAATTCATACAAGCTTCTTAGGACAGACAATACTGGAACAGTAAAGTCAGTAAGAACAGAGAACACACACAGTATAAATAGAACCGAGAGGGAAGCTGTCTCTGCACAGTCTACAGTAATACAAACTACATGCAGACGTAAAGAAAGGCCAAGTGCCCAGTCAGGTGCCCGCCAGTCCCAGAGAGAGCACATGTGGGGTGTGCTTTCACACATGTGTTTTGGTGGTTGAAGGTGAAATTTTGGAAAAGAGACAATGAAGAGTTGTGAGAAGTGACTAGCAGCCACCAGACCCCAGCGGCTCTGTATAATGAACACCCGTCCTTGCCAGATTCCAAAGTCCTAGAATAAGGTGAGGCAGGACCCAGGGCCAGGTAACAGCAACCCACAAGCTCATTACCTCCATAGATTTCAGGCCGCGTCAGGCTGTGCCATCTTTTAAAAATGAAATACGTCTGTGAAAAAAAGGGGTACTGGTGTTTTGATCGGGATTGCACTGAATCTGTAGATTGCTTTTAGTAAGATGGCTGTTTTCACAGTATTGATTCTTCTGATCAATGTCTTTTCATCTTCTAGTGTCTTCTTCAATTGCTTTCTTTAGAGTCCTACCATTTCATCGCAGAGGTCTTCTGTTTCCTTGATTAGATGTGTTACTGGGTGTTTGTCTGTCTGTCTGTCTGTTTGTTTGTTTGTTTGAGGGGTTATTATTGCTATTTGGTGGGGGTTGTTTCTGCTGTTTGGGGAAGTTGTTGCTATTTTTGGAAAAGCCCAAGGATATCTAAATCAATCCTGAATAAAATGAATACTGCAAGAATCATCACCATAAGTGTTTTCAAATTATACTCCAGAGACATAGTAATAAGAACAGCATGGCACTGGTAGATAGATTAGCGGGATAGAACAGAAGACTCGGATATAACTTCACACAGATACCTGGTCTTTAACAAAGACTTCACAAATATGCATCGGAGAAAAGTCAACATCTGCAATACACGGAGCTGGGAAGG